AAACTGGCAGCCTGGGCTTTCTCAGGGTTGTGGGGAGGGTCATCCTGGATGAGTCTGCCCCTAGCCTCTCCTCCAGTGTCTTGAAACCTCCAGTAACTGTAAGCTAAATAATCCTTTCCTTCCCCCATTTTGAGTGTCGGGTATTTGTCCCAACGAGAGAAGAGTAAGACAACAGTGTCTTACTATGCAGTTCAGGCTGGCCTTGACTTCATCGTGTAGCCCAGGCTGGCCTCAACTTTGCAACAATCCCCCTACTTCAACCTTGAGAGTACTAGTATTACAAATGGGCACCACCATGCCCCACCACTAAGGTTAGTCTTGCAATCCCCCCTGCTTCAGCTTTCAGGATACTGGAATTATAAGTACCAGCCACCAAGCGTGGTGATGTAATCATTTTAATTGATTGATGGTGGTGGGGGGTGGTCATGGAGCCATCCTTGGGTGTTGGCTCCTCAGGCTCCTCATTCAGTTTCCACCCCTTTACCTTCTGTCTTCCCTCTCCTATCTAGGTGCTATGTTCGTTTTCATCTGTGTCCCAGCCCCTCGATCTCCCTCGCTCACCTCCTGCCTCTCCCCTTCCTCCTCTACAATTCCAGGGACCCAGGGTCGCCATGCAGAGTCCCCCTGCGGGCTCCAGGCTGGCCTCACCTGCAGTGCACGATGGGTGGGCCTCCCTCCGAGGTCTGGTCCAGCCACAGCCTCAGTGTCTTCCAGAAAGCCAGCAAGGGGTCTGGGGAGTGCGGCACGCCATGGTCTGGCCAGGACAGGTAGTGGAACTGTCGCACAGACAGGGACTTCTTCTCCTTCACCTGGAAGGAGAACGCTTGTGGGCCAGGGAGACCTGGGGGACTTCCTGGAGATGCCCTGGGGACCTGGGAAATCCCCCTCGAGCACTGTGGTGGCAGGGACTCACGTGGAGCAGCTGCAGGTCCCGAATAGCCCAGTTCTCTGTCACCTCCTCACCCACCAAGGCCACCTGCAGGTGCCCATGGGTGCAGGGCTGGGTGTCCAGAGGCCAGTAGTGTTCACACTTCACCTGCAGAGAATGGACAATCAGGGAGCAGCCCCGTGCTCACAGGTCTGCTCTGGCCCCAGGGCGGGACCTGTGGGTGGCCAGCGCAGACTCATGTCAGCTGCAAAGACACCTTCAGGGATGGAGCTTAGCGGTGCAGCACCTGCCTGGCAAGTGCCAGGCTCTGAGTTCAGTTCCCAAATACTCCACCCATTCCAGGTGGGACCAGCTCCACCCCCGCTGAAGCTGTGCTCTCCTGGAAGTCGTGCTAGAAATGCCACATCAAACTAATGTTAAGGGCGTCTGGAGGCGGTCTCAGGGAGGTCACTGGGACCGGATGAGGTCATCGGGGGGCCTATGGCGGCATCTGTGGCCTTCTGAGAAGAGGAAAGAGCCCCAAGCGCACAGCTGAATCTGTGGCGGTGACACCTCTGCCAAGGGTGGCACAGAGCGCTGTCCTGGCCAGCACCTGCCACCGACTGCTCGGCCTGGGCGGGCCTCGCGTGGCCCGACTCACCCGGCCGGCCTCCAGGCAGTTGGTGAGCATCACCACGGTGCGGCTCTGCTGCTCCCACACCAGGCGCCAGAAGTCGCCCACGGTCTGCGGCAGGGGGCCCTGGGCCGCGATGAAGTCCCGGGGGCTGCTGCGGCCCTGGTTGAGGAAGGCGGGCAAGTCGAGGTCAGGCCATGCGCCCCAGCCCGCATCCCTGGGCTCCAGCTTCCTCCCAGCTCGACCCAACCTCACAGGCATGAAGCTGGCGTTGATGTAGTCCGAGCCCGGCTCGTCGTGGAGGGGCTGCAGGGGCACCCGAGACCAGTCGTCTAGGAGCAGCCACCGAGAGGTGAGGGACTAGGAGTCGGTCGGGCCGAGGGGGGTCCTCAGCCGGGAGGGGTGGGCTTTGGGCTGGGGCAGGCGCCGGCAAGGCTCGGGGACTCACAGGGCAGCACGTTTCGGTAGCGGTTCTTGGCCTTGTTCTCCGGAGCCAAGGCCACCAGCTGCGGCTGGCCCTCGCCCTCCAGGGACAGTTGCTGCGGGAGGGAGAGCGGCGGGGTAGGCTTTCTCCACGGCCCCGAGCGCCCTCTGCAGGCGAGTTGGAAGACACCTGGCCCCCTCCCTGGGGAGCGTGGGGGGGCTTGGGGACAGTGGGACAGCAGGGCGTTGGGGAGCATGGGGGGGGCTTGGGGACAGTGGGACAGCAGGGGGTTGGGGAGC